CAGATCTTCTTTATACACCAAGAGCTTGTAACACTCCAAAGAGAAAGGAAAACTTGAAATCGCATCATATGACCCCTTTAAGATGAAGTCCAGTAGCATTGAAAGAGATGAGTTTTCAGCTGTCATTTGAAAATTGTCAGGGATTCAGCGTTCCGGATAGGGGTGGGAAGATCATTCCAGCAGCCAGGAATGGTGAACAGGAATGTTCTGGAAAGTAATTTTGAGCCTCTCTGTGATGGTACCAGAGGCGGTGCTCACTAGCGGATCTCAGACTTCTGAAGGGGATGTAGATTCGTAGTAGTGAGTGATTGTAGAAGAACCTAGCTGAATGGAGAAATCATGCTGTAGAGCTGGAGTGGCAGGGAAGACAAGAAGCTCAGTCTTTGCCAGGTTGAGCTGTAAGTGATATTCTTTCATCCATGCTGAGATGTCCACCAGGCAGCCTGAGATCCGTGCAGCTACCGTTGGATCATCTGGTTGAAATGAAAGATAGAGCTGTGTGTCATCAGCATAGCAATGGTAGGAGAAGCCATATGCCTGTATGATGGGACCCAGTGATGTCGTGTATATGGAGAAGAGGAGCGGTCTAAGAACTGATCCCTGAGGAGCCGGGATCCAGCTCTGCTGTAGAGTTGGAGTGGCAGGGAAGACAAGAAGCTCAGTCTTTGCCAGGTTGAGCTGTAGGTGATGTTCTTTCATCCACGCCGAGATATCCGAAATTGATGTGCTTTGGAGACCACCCCTCCCCAGGTCACCCTGAACGACCTACCAGTGAGATAGGATTCAAACCAGCAAAGTGGAATCCCTGTGATGCCCTGTGATGATGTGACTACTGATTGTTCTAGTTTTGTCTGTGAAGAATGTGTCAAAATCATCAGCTGTTATAGAAGTGGTGGGAGGTGCTGGAGGGGGACAGAGGAGAGAATTGAAAGTTTTGAAGAGATTACGTGTGTCTGGAGCACTGTTGATCTTGTTGTGGAAGTATGAAGATTTGACAGTATGGACTTGAGCAGAGAAAGATGCAAGCAAAGACTGATACATACAGTACTCTGGTCTGACGGATCTTTTAATTTGCGCCATTTTCTCTCTGCTGCCCTGAGTTTGGATCGATGCTCACGCAGAACATCGGATAACCAGGGGTTAGAAGGGGCAGCCCGTATTGGCCTGGAGGAGAGAGGACAAATATCGTCTAGACAAGAGGTTAAAGTTGAGCATAAAGTGTCAGTTGCTGCATTCACATCCAGAGATGAGAAATGGGTGGGTGAGGGAAGAGAGGAGGAGATTTCAGAGGAAAGATGGGAGGGTGCAAGGGAGCGTATGTTTCGTCTAAAAGTAACCGGTATAGGGGTTGGTGGCACACATGTAGTAAAATGTAGTTTAAATGTAATGAAGAAATGGTCAGAGATATGTAGGGGTTTTACCAAAATGTTGTCTGCAATACAATTGTGTGTGTAAATTAAGTCAAGTTGGTTGCCTGATTTGTGCGTGCTTGTAGTGGTAAGTCGTTTGAGATCAAATGAAGCAAGGAGTGAATGGAAGTCTGTAGCATAAGGCTTGTACAGATGAATGTTGAAGTCGCCAAAGACTAAAAGTGGACTGCCATCCTCCGGGAATGAGGAAAGCAGCCCATCCAGCTCCTCTAGGAAGGTGGCTAGAGTTTGCCCAGGAGGGCGGTAAATTACCACAACCTGGAGATTTATAGGAGCTGTTACAGTAATCGCATGAGATTCAAATGAGTTATAGAAGTGTGTGCAGTAAAACTTGCACCTTTGGATGGAAACATAGCTTGTTTTGATCAGAGACACAAATGTTCTGCTGTGTGTTTGGAACTAATTTGGAGGAAAAACACTCAATATTGATAATACAGTGTCTAACATGTACATCACTTCATTTTAGCTTAAGCTTAAGCTAAATTATTTATTTATTTATTATATACTATTGGATGAAGTATAAAATAGTGATAATTTTTTAATGGCTCAAGGCTGCGCTGGTACACAGACATGGTATTTAAAAACTGGACTGTCTGGCTGTTTGCAAACTCTCAGGTTACTGATACAGCAATATAGATCAGCTTATGATCAACCCTTTGCGGGACAGTCAGCATTACAATGAAACTGAACACTGTAGCTTGTTTTGAGCCTGCGTGACATATTTGTGTGTGCATGATCTAGTGTTGTGTTGGCTGGTAAAGGCTCTGGGCTGGTGAGTCAAACAGACACTGAGCCTGTAATAGGCTGTGTGTGTCGCTTTGGATAATCAGCATCAGTGGCTTCTCTCTTTTCCAGGCAGAGATCCAGAGGTCTTGCTCTCAGCACAGCATACACAGAGGAGCAGAGGGCTGCCAGCTGCTGTGCTCCTGCAGTATGTACCCTCCTGTCCCTCCTCCACCTCCTCCTCTTCCTCCTCCACCGCGAGCACTGACCGCTGCGGGTAAGCCATCACTACACATCACTCTGAGTGGACTCTTCTCCAGAGGTCAGATGGAGATAAGTCATTGAGATAAAATGTTGCGAAGGTATTCATACTACATACAGTACTCAACATGTATGTATTATATCCATACCTTTGTCTCACATTATGTATCTTATTCCTGGTGAACACTTACAGTGCTCTGCTAGTTCTGGTCAGTGACTAAATGCACAAGGCCCATTTACATTTTTCCACAGTTTCTATGCTTCCCGTTTCTCCATATAATATGCTGAACGCTGTACTTCCACCTTAATGGAAACAAAGCTGAATCACAGTTCGAACAGTGGGCGAACTTTCTGTGTCCACCACACTGGACGCCGGTGGGTTTGCTCGCCCTGGCTCAGGAGAATGAGCTGCACACCTGCTAGATCCACTGTATACCAGTCAGCTGTTCTGTAATGAAATGCAGGCAGAGACCTAGATCTATATGGAGGTGATTTATTAAAAGAAACCAAAAGCACAAGGAGAAGGGAACAAAAACACGGGCAAACAGAATAACCCTTACATTCAACAACTGACAAAGTAGCAAGTGAAACACAAGGGTTAGATATATACACAGGAGAACAGAGGGCTAACAAACACCAGGTGAGACTGATTAGTTACCATGACAACTAACAAGGCACAAAGCTTGGGACTAAACACAGGAATCTACATGTGACAGAATCCCCTTTATTTATATATAGTGATGGGAAACCGAGGCTTTCTGAAGCGTTTAAGGCTTTCATGAAATTGTGCCGAAAAACGGTTCATTACTCGAAGCTTTTAACACAGTGTGCATTAGCGACATCTGGTGGTCGGACTTGTTTTCTCCACCATTACTGACAAATCATGTGGAGCAGAGGATGGTTTAAAAAAGCATGTGACCAAACAAAGCTTCGGAAATCTGTTACATTCAAGAGTGGAATCAATCTGGGATCAATACAATATCTAATTTGATATAATCTCATCTAAATTAATTTGTGCCAATGAGACCACAACTCATGTCATGTAGCCTATAGCTTGGTCAATGGATTCACATATCGATCAATAATATAAAATACACAAACATGTGATCATAATTAATAACTACCCTTATACTGTATACCCTTATGTTGTGTTCGGTATCTCTGAGACCCCAGTTATAAACATGATTAAATGTCCTACTGACAGCCCTCAAAGTGACTGAATAACCCTTTTATGCATCAGGTGGGATCGTGAAGCGCCAGTTTTTTCAAACCAGCTGTCCCGACCTTCCAATACTGCATGACGTGGTGTTGTCATTTCGATACAAGCATCGGCACAGTGTGTAATACAATAGTGCTTTGAAAACTGCGTCGGAGCATCGGAGCTGCGGTATCAATTGTCCCATCACTATTTATATATGTGACAATAGGTGCAAACTTATGAATTTACAGTAACAATGCTGATGTTTATTAAGGTGTTTAATGACGATGTGTGGATGTGTGATCACTCTTTCAGCTCCGGAGGCTTCTGCTCCTCTGCCGAGGCCCTGGTGGACGGAGATCATCGTGCTTGGGATGATAGGAAGTGCTTTGGCTGTCTTTCTTCTGCTAACAGTCATTATCTGCTACAAGGCCATAAGGAGGTATGTAACGCTGTCACAGAGTTAGTGCAGTTCTGCAGGGGTAGATGAAGGTTGTGGCTTCAGTGCTGTTAGTACAAGTGTGGTTTTGCCATGCTGTGACATAAATGAAAGGCTGCTGTAGTGCTGATCACATGTGGCACTATATTATGTGTGAGATTTGGTCACACGTCACTTGTGAATATGAATGTCGTATGACTTTTATTTTGGGTCACTAGCTAAGGAATTTCATCTTAACAGTAAGGAACAATCAGGGAAGATTGTTGACTAAATACAAGTTATGCAAATTGGAGGGAGTTTGTGAGCCGACCAATCTGAAAGATTTGTGAGATATTGATAAAATGACTTTAGAAAGATGACAGCATCATAATTTTATTATTATACAGACTGGTAGATTTGTTAGTGAAGTTAGTTGACTTTAGCAGGTCTTGTTTGCATTTTCTGCCAATCAAAAACCCAATAAATATTAAAGATATCTTAATATCCTTTTAGATTCTGGTTCCTAACAAACTTGTCTTTTGGTTTCTTCATTTTAAGGCCCTCTGTGGTTCAATCCCACAGACACTGGGATCTCAGTGCGGCTCTATGAGTGAATATTCAGTGGTCAAAAAACAAATGTGGGTTATTTTGCTTATTGTATTGAAAAAGGAATATCTGAAGAACAGTTATTGTTGTAACTTGAAATATTTCTTCAAATTGCATTGAACACACCTGTCTGAGTACCAAAAAATACACTGAAACGGTCAAGTTCAGGCATATTAACTTGGTCTCATTAGTGTGCTCATAAGAGTCTATATTTTCAGGGATATTTGGAAGAAGCAGTTTTGTTCATTTTAACTGTTCCTGAACCTAATGATTCAAATATGCAGTAGTGTAATTACATGTTTGAGTAAGGCAAGATTTGCCTCGCCTGGATTTTTTAAGTATTCAAATTTCCTCTTGTTATGAAATGTAATGCGTAGTCTTAGATGAAGCAGTATCAGAGCCAGCCCAAGGCATAAGTGAACTAAGCTGCTTAGGGCCCCCAACAGCACATGAGATGGCTTTTTAATTTTTAATTTTTTTAATTGTAATTTTTTTGTGATATGTTATGTCAGTGGGCAATGGTAATGATACAGAAACGCAATATTAAATAATGAAATGATCTATATATACGTGTCATTATTATTTCCATAGCGACGCGTCATGCAGGCACAATAGCACTGTATGACAGATGTATAGCTTTTATTTAGCTTTTCCTTTTTATTCAAAATATCCACAATCTTGTTATCTATATCATGAACTATATGATACAACCTATTCTGATTGTCAAATATGTGTAAATTAATTTGTTTAGTCATTTAAACAACCTTAATGTCCATGGTCTATAATGAGCACTGGACACTGTCGTGTGGATCTGTCAGATTAACATCACGTAAATTCACCCATTTCTCCCAAAATACATGAAAGTAAGTGGCCAGTGAACTGCGAGAAAAACAGAGTAAACTTTATAGTTACCCACACAATGTGTAGCCTATTTTATAGGAATAAAACATGTCCAATTTTAATTGAAAGGATTAACGGTATCGGGCCCGATACTGGTCTCCTGTACTCGTACTCGTACTCGTACTCGTTAAAGTGCCCCGATACCAAACGCCGATACCACACAGCATGTGATAAGCGCCATATTCAAACAAAGAAACACCGACAACAGACAGCAGAAAGGAGTTAAGGATGTCTACTACGAAGTATATGTATGCTGATAAACAAAGCACTCTGAGAGGATTGAGCGCGCGGCGGCGCAGATGCGCGAGCTTGTCGAGTGAATATACCTTTCTCACAGACATCACTGGAAAGCTTGTAGTTCGGTCGGATATAGGATGTCTACTACGAAGTATATGTATGCTGATAAACAAAGCACTCTGAGAGGATTGAGCGCGCGGCGGCGCAGATGCGCGAGCTTGTCGAGTGAATATACCTTTCTCACAGACATCACTGGAAAGCTTGTAGTTCGGTCGGATATGTCAAAAACAAGTAAAACAATGCACAAGTTACTTAACGGTAGAGACAGAGAGAGCGCACTTCTGTTGTGTGATCTTTGCTGTTCACTCACTGAGCACACGCATCATTTGGATTAAAACTAAATCGTAAAAATAAGACCATTTATAGGGGCATTCACTATAAACATCATTTATTTTCAATCTTAGGCATACACGACTTTCTGGCGAAAGTGAATCTAACAGCCTGTGTGAAATGTGCTAGCTGTACTATTCTGCATCAGTACAAATACCTGCAAGCGTTGCACGTGTTTTGCTTGCTTGAGTGTTTCTGCATTATATGAGTGGCTTTGGAACATAAACCGCAGCACGTTTCAGATGAAAAAACGCGACTTCTATTTCTGAAAATATCACAGTTAGGAGATGTATAACGAGTGGTTCCCTGCATTATTACAGCAAAGCGCGTGATTACAGTACTGAGCCGCTGCAATGGAGCCGCTCTAATGCTGTTAAATTAAAGATGAAGTACCATAGAGCAAAAAAATTTACAGTGAAAGTAACAAAAACTTGTAAATTACATTTTAATGGGCATAATTAAGTGTGAAAATAACCGAAGGATATACAGTCAAACCAAAAATGATTCAGAGACCAGGTATAATTTTTGAAATTTTTTTAACTAACAGCTGTCTGAATCATTTTGGTTGATTGTAATCTATTACATACCTTTCTATCAAAGTTATCTAACATTATCAAGATGAATTTGTTCTGACACAGTTTAACTCTGAGTTCTTGTCATATTTTATTACCATTTTCTAAACTATAGCAAATAAACTGTGATAATGTGAGAAATGTTGAAGGTGTCTGAATAAATGTTGGTTTGACTGTATCTATTTGATAAATGAAGTTAACCAACTAACATTATACATACCCTTTTGGTTTCTGTACCCAATATTAAAAAAATGTACAAATGCAATAAAAATATCGGTATCGGTACTCGGTATCGGCAAGTACCAAAAATAAAAGTATCGTATCAGGCGAGTACTGGAAAAAGTGGTATCTGTGCATCCCTAGAAAGGATTATTATTGCGGCTTTCCATAGAAATCAATGTGTTTTTAACAAACTAAAAATGTATTTTTTGCATCTTAATATATTCTCATATTTTACTTAGCTAGTTTTACATTCAAGTTTTTATCTTCTGTGTAAAAATAACTTGTATATATTTTTGTAATAAAAATAAGCTTCAGATTCATAAACTTGGTGCTGATAACAGCTTAACATGATTTACATTAGCCTACCTTTGAGGTCTTTGCTATTATATTCCAATAACATTTTGCCTCAGTTAGCTAGTTATAGATTAAGAGATGATGTTTTATATGTGTGTTTAATAATATATGTTGTTAAAATAACATTCTGTTCTGTAAATGCATCGTCTGCTGGTTTATTTAGCTACTTTTCAGTACACCACATTAAGTATGCCACTTAGTACTGTAAGACTTTGAATGTTCAACACCTGACCACTCTTGTGGGTTTGCTACTGTTACAATTAAAAATCGTAAAACATGCCAGGCAGACATTGGTATGATGTAAGCAACACAGCTACAACAAATAAAACTGATAATGGGTGTGATAGACTTATAGTGTGCGAATAATCAAGCATTGACAATAATCAATCAAATAAAATTCTGCTTAGGGCCCCATAAAGGCTTGGGCCGGCCCTGAGTAGTATCCACTGCTAATATGCGTATTTATTGCTATCACTGATAGTACATCAAACTTTGAAACATTTAGGTCTCTCTCACACTCTTCATTTATGTATTTCTTTCACCAAAAAAAAAAATGAAATCAAAATGTTTAGCTGGGAACTTAGTGTGGTTGAGTTGACACAGAATGACCCAATAGATATTTGAGACTCGATTAAAAAGGACTTAAACCCTTTGATCTTACATGAACATAAATATTGTTGCAAATAAAAATAAACAAAAAAATGTGCATCTACCGCAGTTTTAAGTAGAATCTGACTTGAGTTCAAGCATCATTACAGCACGAGCGTCCTCTCAGTGTCCTCCAGCAGACTTCAAACACGGGTGGCACTGCACTCCAACAGCTTTGATATAAAAAATGTATTAACTCTGTGAAGTGTTGTGTCGCCACCTGCCACATGTCAACTGCTGACATCTATTATTGAGGAAGCTGGGTGCTACCAAAACCGTGGGCTGTCCAAAGCTGATTGGAGGACTGATTCCTGATTCAGGAGCAATGTTAAAACCAATGTGAAGCCACGCAGATCTGATCATCAAGCAGTACAAATTATTATATTATTTTTTCATTGTATTTTTATTATTATCCCTAAAAAATACCAAACTCCAAATTCTTTTTTTGAAGGAAAGGTCAAGAATAATCTTGCACATGACTTCATATGATGACGTGTTTTGATTTTGCTAGGAAATGCCTTTTCCTGAGTCATTCACAAGCTGTACATGCAGGTGTTGATCTTTCTTCCGTCACTGGCAGGCGATAGGCTGCGTTCAGTGGATTGTAGGTGCTCTGTGTTTGCATCAGTGCTGCTCACGCAAGCTAAACCTGAGTGAAGAATCAAACAGCTTCAGCTGATCAATAATCCCAGCAGTGAAATCATCTCACCAGCCATCTGCTCCAGCTCACTGGGACAAGAGCATGTGCTGTGTGCTTCCTAATTATAGGCAGTTGAAACAAACTTTGTTCATGGGCTTCTATTCTAAAGATTTTAAGTTATAATTGACATCAATGTTTAAGGGAAAGTGTATACCTTAAATGTGGTGTGATAAATTTGAAAAGCACAAATATTTCATTTATCTCTCAATTAAAGGGATAGTTCATTTAATCATTCCCAGGTCATCAAAAGGTGTAGGTGACTTATTTTCTTCAATAGAACATTAAAGATGATTTTTAGCTGTGAAACTGTGGTCCTTGATGATTCATAAAAAGTCAATGGCTACCCTCACTCTTACGAGTCAATAAAGCACACCATGCAACACAGAATTAATCCC